TTTCTTCATTTTCTTTTCTTAGCCTAAATGGATCTTTACTGGGATCAAGGGATCTGACCACCATTGGTGTACTCAGAGAGAGATTTATCCATGTAAAATTGTTTTAATACCTTTTGGGTATATGTGGATTGATGGATAAATATTCCATTGTTCACATGATCCACCTATAATCCCAGACAATATTTTGTCTTTCCAAAATCTTTGATTTCAAATTCTTTCTTTAGATATTCAACTGCAATTTGGATCTCTTCGGGAGTTCCAATTAAATTGAGATAATCAACATATATGGCAGTAATGACAAAATTTGATCTATTTTTCTTTATAAAGACGCATGGGCATATTAGATCATTAGTATAACCTTCTTTTATTAAACATTCGCTCAGACGGTTATACCACATTCACCCTGATTGTTTAAGTCCATACAATGACCTTTTCAATTTGATGGAATATGATTCCATTGGGTTTAATTTGTATGCTTCAGGCATATTGAATCCCTCAGGGACTTTCATATAAATATCAGTATCCAAGGAGTCATAAAGATATGCAGTGACTACGTCTAAAAGACGCATATCGAGTTTTTCTCGCACTGCTAGGCTCACAAGATATCTAAATGTTATTCCATCAACAACTGGAGAGTACGTTTCATCAAAATTTACTCCAGGCCTTTGTGAGAATCCCTGAACTACAAGACGGGTTTTATATCTCACAATTTCATTATACTCATTTCTTTTTCGTACAAACACTCTTTTGTATCCAACTGGTTTTATACCATCTGGTGTTTGAAAAATTGGTCCGAAGACCTCTCTTTTGGTTAATGAGTCAAGCTCTGATTGAATCGCATGTTCTAATTTTGGCCAGTCATTTCTTTGCCGACATTCATGAACCGATTTTGGCTCTGGATCCTCGTTTTTTTCCATTATATCAAGTGCTAAATTGTATGCGAAGGCATTATCAATAATTGCCTCTTTACGGTTCCAACATTTTCTTGAAGTAATATAGTTAATTGAATTTTCAATAATCTCAGCATGTTCTTCAAGATCGTGCTCTTCTGGAGCAATTATTTCAGGGTTGACTTCCTCGTTAGATTGAGGTTTATCAATGTCATTCCTGATATTTTCATGATTATCATCATTAATTCCTCTTTTCTTTCGAGGATGTTTGTCTTTGAAACCGAGTGGTCTACCACGCTTTAAGCGTGTCACTGATTCATTAGCACTTGCAATTTGTCCATCAGGGACAATTATTTTAGCCGGAGCATTAGCAGCTTGGATATATGATCGAGTGACTTTGCTCGAGTCATTGAATGCATCCAGTAACTGATTTGCAATATTTTGCAAATGTATAATGAGTTGAACTTCTAGTTCACACTGCTTTGTACGAGGGTCACAAAAATTCAATGGAATTTTCCAATTAATATCCCTTTTCGGTTCGTTTTTGTCTCCCTCTAATATCGGAAAATATGATTCATCAAAATGACAATCTGCAAATCTTGCAGTGAATAAATCACCCGTCATAGGCTCAAGATATTTTATAATTGACGGCGATTCATATCCGACATAAATGTCCAATCTACGTTGAGGACTCATTTTTGTACGTTTGGGGGGTGGAATAGGAACATAAACAGCACACCCAAAAATACGTAGATGAGATATATTTGGTTCGTAACCAAATACTAACTGCATCGGGGAATAGCTATGATAGCTTGTCGGCCTCATTCTTATAAGTGTTCCTGCATGTAAGATTGCATGCCCCCAAGCTGAAACGGGCAACATAGACCTCATCAGTAATGGTCTAGAAATCATTTGCAATCTTTTAATAAGTGATTCTGCCAGGCCATTTTGTGTATGAACATGAGCAACTGGGTGCTTTACATTAATTCCAATCGAGATGCAATAATCATCAAATGCATTCGATGTATATTCACCAGCATTATCCAGACGTATAGTCTTAATTGGATTATCGGGGAATTGTGCCCGTAATTTAATAATTTGGGCAAGCAATCTCGCGAATGCCATATTGCGAGTAGATACTAAACAGACATGTGACCATCTGGTAGATGCATCAATAAGGACCATAAAATATTTAAATGGCCCACACGGTGGGTCTATTGGTCCAGATATATCCCCGTGTATTCTTTCCAAAAATGTAGGTGATTCAATACCTACTTTAGCTGGCGATGGCCTGGTTATCAATTTTCCCTGAGTGCATGGAACACATGTTAACTCATTTGAGTTTAAAACTTTTTGATCTTTTAATGAATGGCCATGCGAATTCTCAATTATTCGCCTCATCATCATACTGCTAGGATGCCCAAGGCGATCATGCCATATTTGAAAATCGGTAGTCTTTTGATCTACCGTGAGGTGTGTTTCAACAACACCTAATCTGGCATAATATAAGCCGGTAGAGAGTGAGGGTAATCTCTCGATGATGCATTTCCTTTTATCAATGATATTGGTGATCAATAAAAATTCACCATCGGTATCACTCATAGTTTCAATGTGATAACCATTTTTCCGAATATCATGAAAGCTCAGTAGATTTCTTCGAGCTTTAGTAGCCAACAGTGCATACTGTATCACAATTTTCGTCCCCGCAGGGAGAAATATAATGGCTTCTCCAGAGCCTTCAATTAATTTCGCACTGCCACTTATTGTATTGACATTCATTCTTTCCCTTTTGAAATGGGAGAAATATTTTTCGTGTTTCAATATAGTATGTGTCGTTGCTCTGTCAATGAAACACATATTTGCATCATTTTGATTGGCATCCATTTAACCTTCAAATATAAATAACGCAGTATTAATAAAGGCAGATATAAGTATTACAAAATGCATTACAAAAAGGTAATATGCGATAATTTAAATATTACAAAACATAATGTAAAATGGCATAATATGTCTATCACTGGGGGTTTGCTTGACCTACGACAAAATTCGCTGTATCAAGATGCGTTGTGTCGTAATCCAAAAGATCATCATCGGGGTCGTCATCGTTATCAACGTGATTAGTCTCGACCTCCTTCCCCTTTTTCTGCAGTGAGGCTTGATAAAAATTGGCTAGGTGTTTGGCTGTTCGGCAGGTATTGGCCCAATGGCCTTCAATGCCACACCGATTACAACTTCCGATTTGCCTCTTTTCCTGTTTAGCCTTTTCGGCTATATCCCCATGTTGGGGTTTACTCTGCATCATGTTAATGTCAAAACTGCGGCGGTTGTAAGGGGTATATCGACCGCGTTGACTCTCACGACCGCGACCACGTCCACGGCCTCTACCACGTCCTCGGCCTCGTTCAGAAAATGTCACGTTCGCTTCAGGGAACGGACTGGAACCAGTGGGCCGGGATTGATGATTTTTCATGAGTAACTCATTATTTTGCTCAGCTAATAAAAGACATGCAATGAACTGTGAGTACTTTTGAAAAAAATTTTCGCAATACTGTTGTTGCAGCACAACATTAGAAGCATGAAAGGTAGAAAGAGTCTTCTCCAATTTATCATTCTCAGTAACATTTTCTCCGCAGAGTTTCAAGTGAGATGTAATCTGATGGATAGCAGAGTTATACTCTGTAACAGTTTTTAAATCCTACAATCGCAGGTTAAGCCAATCATATCGGGCTTTGGGGAGAGTGATATATTTCAAATGCCCAAATCTCTCCCTCAATTCATTCCACAAATCAAGTGGATCTTTCACCGTCAAATATTCGGACTGTAGAGGAATGTCCAAATGATGACGGATGAAAATAATAGCCTTAGCCCGATCTTGGTTTGTAGCCGTATTTTCACTGGCAATTGTATGAACAAGGCCCATTGAAATAAGATGCATTTCTACATCCAGGGACCAAATCAGAAAATTGTTGCCGGTGAGAGATAGAGGTTTAAAAGAAAATTTTGCAAGATTTTCCATAGTGTAGAAAATATATAATATAGATAGTATAAAAATAAAACTTACCAAAAATAAAATAGACGATAGCACTCGTGCTGATAACGTGTTATATAATAAATAATATAAGTAGGTTGGTAAGTTTTGTAATAATAATAATATAATAAGTATAATACGTGTATACGTGTATGCACGAGTGTGTGTGGGTTTATATATATATATATATATATGAATATATAGGTATAGAGAAAGAGGGTAATTAATGCAGAGAGAGACAGTGTTGAATGAATTGTGTGTGTTTTTTATTGAATGAACATAAACTATTTATAAGTAAATTGAAGTGCATTAAATGCCACGGAACATGTGTATACTAGTAGTAGTGTATACAGCATCCATACAATACATATATGTATACTACGTAGTGTACAACATAGAACATAATATACTAATGAATTTGCTCACTTTTTTGTTTTGAACAATCTCCTAAAAGTATTATTAAAAATTATAATATACATAAATTAATATCATATATATATTTTATTCTCTCACAAAAAATTAACTATTTAACATAAAATATTATTACTCTTTTATTATCAACATAATTTCACATATCTACCATAAAAAATACACCAATTCCAAAGTACAAAATAAACGCACCAAATATTTTTTATTAAATTTTTAAACTTAAAATAATTAGTACTTATTTCTATAAATATGATTAGCAATATACTATAAAATAATACTTCCTCACTACTAATTCAAAATACCATTTTTACCATTTTTTATCTTAGTAAAAAATAATCATTGACCAATATCAAAATACCCTTAATTTTTACCTAAAATACAAACATACCATTACACATAGATTTTTACAAATGTCAAAATCTTTTACACCCTTCAAATACTAATAAAATACTATTATTTTTTAATTTACTACAAAACCTCAAACGGATGGGACGGAGGGAGTATTTGCAAAATAAAGAAAATGAATCCGGATGAAAATTTTTAATTGTTTCTGTTTGCTAACCTAAAAATGAGTGCAATGTCTCTGTTTATTTCATGCACGACATCAAGTAATTAGAAAAATTAAAGAGTTGTTTACATTCCTATTTGTGTCAATGCTACTAACTATATCACTTTTCACATAAACTTCGAGCACAGTAGTCATGAGCTAGTCAAAGTTTATCGATACAAACAAACTGTAATGAACGCTAGTGAATATATCTTACCATAGGGTAAGTTGATCTACAGGTGATGAGCGCTGTGTCATCTTCTTCAGACAAACTCTGGAAAAAAAACAGTTGCTAGAGAATGATACTTACAATTAATTCGTGTAGGGATATGACAGGAAACCTCTGTGCTATCTACAACCTGGGAAAATAAAAATGTTAAGATAATCCTTCAAAGTACAGGCTACTAGTTTAAACATAGTTAGAGTCGATGCTCCTTACGTGAACAGTGGAGCCCGACTGCGGGAGGACTGTGGTCTCTTTATGGGTGAAAAGATGAGGTTTCTTAGGGTCATTGAAGGATTATTGCTGACTCCACCTCCATTACCGACGCCAAATGAAGGGCGAGAAGTTGGCATATGGTTTGTGGTGTCGATTGGAATTGCAGACTGTTTTCCAGGGGAGCTGTTGGGCATGTGGAATGCAGAGTTGGAAATATCGGGCCTTTCGGACCAGATGTCCCCGTGCCCTGAAGTCGTCAACAGTGAGAACAGATCAAGGTCTGGTTATAATTATATCCAATATATATATATATATACTATACGTGTTATATAAAAGAAAACTATTGAAGAGAAGAGGGTTACCTGTCCTAATGTCTCTGTTATCCCTTCCTGAGGCAGGATTTAAGAACAAATCAAGTTGGGGCCTTGAAAAGAAATGATCCGCAGGGTGAACTGCAATTCTCTTCAATGAATCAATTTCATTTCGTGCTTGATCATACATTTCATCAAGCTTTCTCTTTTGCCTGGCATTGATGAGTAAGTGTTTATGGTCTGACCATGAATTTTGTAAGAGAGATACTAAGAAGATAATAGAACAAAGAAATGGACCTGCATTTTTCGGAAAGCTTTTCTTGTAGTTCTCTCTTATCTTTGGATAGATTCTCCATCTCTTGCTCCAACATTTGGCACCTCTTTGCCATTTTCTGGTATGCAGTATAAACTTGCTCCAATTTCTCAGTGTATTTTGCTTGCATCGCCTCACATTTCTGCCGACCCTGAGCTACTATCTTATTGATCTTAACCTGCATCTCTAAATCCCTTTGTCCAATGTAAAACATTACACTTCTTAATGCGCTCTTCATTGCTAAGAGGGGTTTAAGGAAATCAAGGCTCCATTTAGATATAGTTTTTGGAAGCTTTGGAGTTTTGTAAATGTTGAAGAATAATAGAAAGTTAATATTGGATGTGACTTATTTTGAGAGAAGTTGATATTTACTGTTGTTTTTTCGAAGAGGGTACTATAAATGAAGTGTCAAAAATAACTTTTCAGTGCACCTAAAGAGAGCCCAAATATGTAGGTTGACAAATTAGCTAGGTAATTACCATGCCATTTTGACAATATTAAAATACCCGGTAAGATGGAGAATTGTAAGGCATAGAACAGCAAAGTGAATAAGGATACTTATCTGTGGAGATGTTCCTGCCATGGCCATCTGCAAGAGAGCATTATTATGCCATCATATTGTTAAATAAAAGATCTATACAGTACAAAGGACTTTCCGAGGAAGCTTACTTACATTAACCCATTCATCATTCGGATTTACATCCACAGGTTTCATGAGACTAACAAACAAAATCATATGAGATGTCAAGAGACAAGAAAATGTGGACAGAATCCCCAACTAAAATCATATTACTACAACTTGAGAATGTTGTCACTGAAAGGGTAATGTGAGATAAATGTTTTTTCATTAACCACAATATGTCTGGAAAATGATATTCCTTTGTTGCATTCTAACAATTGGGCAAATCATTAGCAATCGACGAGCAGGAGACACAAACAAAGTGAATATGTTGTGATACCTTTTAGAGAGCACCTGATCACAGATGGGACAAACACCATTGTTACTGAGAATCTTACCTGCATCTTCAGGACCTTCAGAAGTGGTTAAGGAAACCTTATAAAAATGAATTTGACAGGAATAGGATTAATACTATGGCGTAGCTCATATTGGATACACAAGAGGTGACCACAGGTAGTGGTAATGGCCCGTCCTTCCAATTCTTGCCAGCAGGCATTGCATCTCATTTCAATGTTCAAATTAGCAATTTACATTTACTGTCCATTCTCTTGGAAACCTGAATACAGTGAGTTAAAAGAAACACAAAAAAATTAAAAACTAAAAGAAATGAGTCACATTTCTTAGATTGAAGGGTAGATAGGGGTGAGCAATGGGCGTGGTGTTACTTGCAAATTTTCAGATATTTGTGAGTCATGCAAAGATTTGGAACAGTGAACTTCGGATTAGCAGAACATATTTCGATTGTTTGCAACAAAATCGAACCCAACCGAATCAAAAGAAAAGACTTTCAATGAATAACCAAACATCCGGTTAACGAAATATAGTAACGAATATTCCGATCCAATTCCCAATATATTGAAAATATAGCCAACCCTTCGAACCAATGGACCCTAAGAGTAAACTGGTATCCACTAAAAATATAATATCAACACAATCAATTGAAACTAAATTCAAACCCTAAACGCTCATAATAGCAGGCATTGAAATTAGTAACAGCATATAATTCAAAGTAATTATAAAAAATGAACTTACAAAGCCTCCGACAAAACTGTAGAAGAAGATGTAAAGACGACGAGAATGATGATGAAGCTTGTCTTGGAGGACAACGGTGACGAATCCAGAGAAAGACGAAGAAGAAGAAGAAGAAGAAGAAGACGCTAAGAAACGAATTGAAGTCAGTCGCAGACAAAGAGGGACGAGCTATGGAGAGGAAGACGATGACTTAGAGTTTCACTGCACTATGGACTAAATGAGTTTAAAATTTAAAACGAATAATTAAATGTTAATAGTACTCCTCCATAGCATATACTCGTAGATACTTACTAACTAATTACTAATTAGTACTCTCTCATTCCCACATAATTTATCTTTATTTTTTATTTTCGTCCGTCCAACATAATTTCTCCCTATTTTTTATTTTCGTCCGTCGTCCAAACGTAACTTGTACTTTCTATTTTTAAAAAATATAATTATGCAGTAATTATTTTTTTACTTACACAAATTAAAAACGCAATGCGCAATGATCGGATTACTTTTAGGATTTATTGGATTTATATATTTTTATTATTATATTTGTATTGGTTTTTTTTTTTTTTTTTTTTTATGTCTCTGATTTTTTATTGATTAAGCATTTGTTTTGTTTAGTATGTTTAAATTTTTTGTTTTGCTATTATTAGATTATATATGTGATTTTTTATTTATTTGTAATATATTTTATTTATCTAGTTGTAATAAATATGATATTATTATTTTAATAAATTTATTAAATAATTTTAAAAACAATATAATTTGTCTTTACTGACACAATTTAAAAAGACAACAGGATTTATATTTTTTTGCTATATATACATTAATATATTTTTTGTATTTTTTTTTTTCATGTGTGCGCTTTTTTTTATCTATTAATCATTATTGCTTTATTTAGATTAGTGTTTTATATTTAAATAGGAAGTTTGTAGTGTCCTATTATTATATTATATATGTAATATTTAGTTATGTAATATAAAATACTACTATGTTATTAGTTTAATACAATTATTAAATTAATATATTACTTTAGAATATAATCATTAATTTTTTTTTTTGAATACGTTAAAAAGAAGACGATCACAAATTACATATAGGGTTGATAGGGTTTATATTTTTCTTGTACATGTATTTAACGTATTTATTGTGTTTTTTTTATTTTCGTGTGTGTTTTTCTACTGATTAAGTATTATTGTTTTGTTTAAATTAATGCAAAAAAATAAAAATAAATAATACTTGTGAAGTTACTGTTTAATTATATGATTTATAATTTTTTATTATATATATTATTATATTTATTGTGTTTTTTAGTTAATATATGTTTTTTTATCAGGCGTCGGTCAGTTGTTATGTGTAGATTAATGCATTTGAAATTTTATATAAAAGTTTATGTGCGTTCACTTTTATTTTATTATATATGTGATTTTTTATATGTAATATATGTTTTTATCTATTTTTATTAAATAAATATTATTATTTTAATAAAATTATTAAAAAATTATAATAAAAGGAATTTGAAATATGAAAGAAGAATTTCTTTGAAGATGAGATTGTTGAGTATTCGACGGTGAGTTTATATATTAATTAAAATTATTGTCTACCCCTTGATTTAATTATCTAGGATCTGTTTCTTTTGGCTCAGTTTGGAGAAAAAATTGTGTAAAACTGTTTGCACAGTTTTTTTTTCCCAAACCGAGCCCCCTTTCTCCCGACATTTGCTGCAGAAATGGCAGCAAAAAGCTGACACTTTTATTTTTTTTTAAATTATTTTTTTTAAATATTATATTTATTTAATATTTATAATAATTATATGGTAAAAAATATATACAATATATATGTCATTTTGTAGAAAATAAAATTTTTTATAATACAAATAAATAAAAATTTAAATATATATATGTTTGGTATAATATAAATTTATAATCAAATCATACAATATAAATTTTATCAATTAAATTTAATACACATTTATATTATTTTATTCATTATTCATGAAATCAATAGACATCAAAACTCTCCAAACCCCAACCAAACTCAAACACAAAAGAACAACAAAATTCAAACCCATACTAAATCTTAATAGGATGGATTAGGGCCGTAATCGTCCTCACCAAGATATAGTGAATTAAATATTAAGTGACAAATAAAATGATTTGATTGCCAAAAATAGTAAAAGATATTCGCTGCAATTTTAATTTTTCCTCAACTATTGAATGTAAGCGCTTTTGTGAACACATTTACGTCAGCTGCAATAGATGGTGATCATGGATAATTATAGTGTTTTAAACTTCTTGTAATATATCAAAATTCAACTTATGTTCGTGCAGAGATGATGACTGGTTCATTGAAGGAAAAGATAATACCCTTTCATTTCCTTTATACTATAGTGATAATAATGTAATTGAGTTTGACGTTCTTGGTCCTCTTTATTCACTTTCTAAATTATATTATGTGATTAAATTAGCTTTGAAGTCTTTTTTAATAATAAGAAGAGAAATGGCAATATGATTTTCTAGTGCTGAGGCATAAATTTATGATAAAGTAGAAATGAGTTCATATTGATTTTGGAATATTGATACTTTTGACCTTAAATAACTTGGGATCAAAAAATATTTGGTTGTGAGATCAAATTAAAGATGCTAGACATGCCTACACTTATCAATTTTTTATTAGTGATTTCTTTGGACCTTTTATATTTTAAGTCAATGATATTGTCTGTTTTGGATGAAAATGAATGCAAAATTATGAGTGAGTTTATGGAAATGAAAAAATATTTAGATATTAATATATCCATTGCTTATGATAAATGGTGAGCAGTAGGCATCACAGACGCCGCTTGGTCAGATTGGGTATGAGAAGGCTGCATGAGAGAGTTTCATCGCTGCAACGACTAGACTAGCTAAGTGGAGGACCTGCATGTATTGCATAGAAATAAAACTATTTTTACAATTAATATTATTTGTTTTGTAATATTAGTATAGGATTAGCCAATAAAAATATTAATTATTTCTACCGCTAACCACTATTTTATATATTGTATATAATATATATAGTGGGTATATATATAGATGTATGTGTGTAATCGTGTGTGAATATATAAATATATGTATGTGTATAATATTATATATATGTATGTTTGTATAGTTTATGTAATGATGATGTTGATATATATAAATAAATGAGAGAAAGATAGATACATAGGGAGACAGATTAATGAGTGGGGATAGGTATGTATCTTCCTTTTTTATCCAGTACAAATTACCTATATATATAGGCAAGTAACCATTGAATTTTGAGGACGTAGGACAACCACACAATTATCGAATAAAATTACATTACGCGTTCTATTTTAACTGTATCCACATTATCGCGTACAAGGGATGTACGTGTATAACACTCCCCCTTGGATGCTATTATAAAAGGATGTGCCTCGTTAAAACTTTACTAACAAAAAACCCAGTGGGACAAAAAATCCTAGTGAAGGAAAAAGAGTACAACATTCTTGTATCAATTCGCTCCCCCTGATCTGAGCATTATTTGAGATCCCTGAACCGACGCATTCCAATTTTCTTCACCAATTTTTCAAATGTTGTCGTCGGCAATGCCTTGGTTAATATATCCGCTAAATTATTATCGGATCGAATTTGCTGCACATCAATTTCACCATTCTACTTAAGGTCATGAGTGAAAAAGAATTTTGGTGAAATATGTTTCGTTCTTTCTCTTTTAATATAACCCCATTTCAATTGGGCTATACAAGCCGTATTATCTTCATATAATATAGTTGGAGAAATTTTATCGTCAGGTATTAACCCGCAATTTTTTAAAATATGTTGAGCCATTGACCTCAACCAAACACATTCTCGACTAGCTTCATGTATTGCCAATATTTCAACATGATTTGAAAAAGTGGCAGTTAAAGGTTGTTTCATCAATCTCCAGGAGATCACAGTTTTGCCACAAGTAAATATGTAGCCAGTTTGTGACTTGGCTTTATGAGGATCAGATAAATATCCTGCATCGGCAAAACCAATCAATTCATGTCGAGAATCTTTCGAGTAGAATAACCCGAGATCAATTGTTCCTTGGAGATAGCGAAAAATGTATTTAATTCCATTCCAATGTCGTCGAGTAGGCGATGAACTGAATCTTGCCAATAAATTTACAGCAAATGATATACCAGGTCGGGTGCTATTAGCAAGATACATCAATGCGCCTATAGCACTCATATATAGCACTTCTGGGCCAAGTGTTTCTTCGTTTTCCTCTTTTGGTCTAAAAGGATCCTTTGCTGGATCGAGTGCTCTGACGATCATTGGGGTACTTAGAGAATGTGATTTATCCATCAGGAATTGTTTCAGTACCCTTTTGGTATAATTTGATTGGTGGATAAAGATTCCACTTTCCAAGTGCTCAATTTGCAAACCAAGACAAATTAAATTCAATAGCTTTCCATCAAGAATGATTGTTTCTATCTTTGATCTCAAACTCCTTTTTCAGATATTCAATAGCTTTCTGGATTTCATTAGGAGTTCCAATTAAATTGAGATCATCGACATATACAGCGATGATTACAAATTCAGACCCATTTTTCTTTATAAAAACACATGGACAGATAGGGTCATTTATATAACCTTCTTTGGTTAAGCTTTCGCTGAGATGATTGTACCACATTCGGCCTGATTGCTTGAGCCCGTACAAAGATTTTTGTAATTTGATGGAATATGACTCTTTTGGCTTTGATTTGAATGATTCAGGTATATTAATCCCTTCTGGGATTTTCATGTAGACATCATTGTCTAAGGAGCCATAAAGATAGACAGTAACCACATCCATTAATCGCATATCAAGATTATTGTGTACTGCCAGCCTCACCAGATACCTGAATGTTATTCCATCCATGACCGGCGAATATGTTTCTTCAAAATCAATACCCGGTCTCTGGGAAAAACCCTGGGCTACAAGTCTTGCTTTATATCTTGTGATATCATTATTTTCATTTTTTTTTCTCACAAACACCCATATGTAATCAATAGCATTCACATTTTCTGATGTTTGGACTATAGAGCCGAATACTTGCCGTTTTTTCAATGAGTCCAATTCAGATTTAATTGTGTCTTTCCATTTTGTCCAATCATCTCTTTGCCGAAATTCATCAACTGATTTTG